GTTTTCCTTGATGAATCATGATCAACACTTGATCAAATGATGAATGTGAATTCAAAATCTTGATATTGATCAAAAATCTTGAAGTTTGATTGTATGTTGACCACAATTTACTTTTTACTCAATATAGTTGATTTTTAGTCATCTGAGCAATTGACTGAGCAAACTTGTGATGCAAGACATGAAACTTGGTATGAGAATTCTTGAAGACATATAAGAGACCATGAAATCCCTTTTAGGCCTTAGAAATCCAATCTTCTTGTGAGAAGTGAAACCCTAGTTGTGGACCCATTGCTCAGGAGGAGAATTTTGTCGGATAATTCTTGAGCCATCTTGAGAATTTGAGAACCCTAGGAGAGTGTATTGAAGAAATGGGAGGGAAAATATTGGGGGTACAACACTGGTGTTCTTATTTTTCTTATTTGGTTGGTCCTGTGTGCCTTATATTTTATAAAATTTGGATAATGGGCTCTTCCCAATTTTTTAATGTAATATTTTGACAATGTCAGCCTTCATGGTTGACAGTTTTAATGTCATTTATTTTACATGCTTATATACTTATTTGTTGAATGTTTGAGTTGCCCATCGTTACTTGTGTTTGCAACATATGATCTATTTGAGTGTGGGATTCTTACTCGATAGAGTTAATGCTCAACGATTTCGGGAACATGTCAAGGAGGCAAAGTTGATTCCGCTTGATAACGGGACTAAGACATCGGTCGGGGTCATGATCCCGTGGCGTGAACTTTACCATCGCGAGTTGGGTGTTCTGCCTCATTGGTACTGTGACAGTTACTTAAGAATTAACTATCCTTGGTTGTGACAAATTCATGGTTAAACAGAAACGTTATTTTAGGAAGATAACTCCACCCAAAATAAATGTGCACCGACCAATTTAGTCTTAACTGCCTTTATTGTCTCTGGACTGTTTCTTCTGAACAAATAATACAAATACATGCACATGCATAGTCAAATAAACATTGTGCACTCTTTTTTAACATGTGCTAGATCACACTGTCCATAATAATCCCTTGTTTGGTTCAAAGAGAAAACATGTCCTAAACAAAGTTATGACATCCATTCAGACACTGTCTACTTGTTCTTGTATTCTCAACTCAGACCATGACTACTGATAAGTGGTTTTTACATAGATATTTAGCATTTATTTTAGTTATCGTTTCTTTTACTTGTCGAGGTTTTATTTAGTTTTATTGCATATTATACTTTGGTTTTGTGTTTTAGTGTTTTCAGGTTCAAAAGAATAAATCGGGACAAATCGGTGAAAAACTCGGAGTTTTGGAAGAAATACAAATATCCACCTACAAGAGGCCTGACACGACCACCCGTGTCACCTGACACGAGCCATGTCAGGATGAAGGCTAGGACGAGACAAAGGAAATGGGAAGTCAAGGGGCTGACGCGGGTGCCCGTGTCAACTGACACTGCCCGTGTCAGAAGGTCTGTATCAGAAAATAAAAGACAAATTCCCAGAGGTCCAACACGGGAACCCGTGTTTCCTAACTCGACCCATGTTGGGTTACGATGCTGATTTCAGTATTTCAAATTATTTTGTTCATCTGTTAAGCTATGGAGATGTTTTGGGTACTTCCAACCGACCTAATTGAGTTGTTGCTATTAAGAGGAGTTTCCACAATGAAAACAAGGACTTTTTGCCACACGAAGAATTGAGGATTGAAGATTGAAGCCTACACAAGTGTTGGAGAACGAAGACCTTTCATGAGAGGAAGCGATTGAAGATCAAAGTTCACCATCTATGTGTGTAATGTTTAATTTTTATTCTGAAATTACTTTGAACAATATGAGTAGCTAAACCACCCAATGCTGGGGGGTGTACTTGATTTGATTATGTAATAACTTTGAATTTCTGATTTCATCAATTACATGGTTTTTATTATTCAATTTAATTGTACAAGGTTTTTCATGCTTTCTTTATCGGACAAATAAGGATTGTTCTACGATTAACAATTAGCTAGACCATAATTGTTAAGGTTTTTGTACAATTAGACTATAGTAGATGCAAGTACGAAGTGCGCCTAAGAGGGGGGGGGGGGGGGGGGGGGGGTGAATTAGGTATTTTAAATTTTTTTTTCTGGTTTTAGTGATGATGGATATTATTTTTCTGGTTTGTGGTGAGTTTATGAAAGAGTAAAGTGTAGAAAAATAAAGAGACACAAGCGATATATCCTGGTTCCCTTCACAGTCTAAGAGTACTCCAGTCCCCTTTCAACATGAAAGAGATTTCCTTATTGTGGAAAACTTAAACAAGAACTACCCAAAACCAAGATCAATCCTCTTGGACCAAGAACAATCCTCTTTGATTTTCACTATGTCAACAATGAGAATAATCCTCTCAAAGTGACTTTACTTGTATCCAACAATCCTGGAAAAACAAGATTTACAAAACCACTTGAACTTATTTTCAACAATCCTGGAAAAAAAAGCAAGTATATAGCAATATTTGATTTGAGTGAGTTTGAGTAGAAATGATCACTTTGAGTGATTTAATCAATGAATTGATCTTCTCTTCCAATGATAATAGTATACAATTACTCAAGATATATAATGCTCACAGTTTTCTGGTTGACAATATGTGAAAGTGTGCAGAAAACTTGTGTATGAAAATGTAGAATAGCTTGAGTTTGATTTTTGAAAATTTAGAAAATATGATTGGAAGAAGTGCTTAAAATTATTTTGAAAATGAGTATTTATATGTTCATAACACCCTTTTGAAACAACATATAATTCTGCAAATGAATCATGAACAATTGCCAAGATTGGGTGAAAGGTTTCCATGAATTGGTGTTATGAATAGGCATGAGTAAAGCTGTTGTTTTTCAAAATCGTTCAGCATGCAATCGATTTCACCCTTGTGTAAATCGATTGCACGGGGTTTTAATATCTAGAAATTCAAATATTTTGAGTGAGCAATCGATTGCACAAGTGTGTAAATCGATTGCACTTGAACTCAGTAGCAAAAATTGATTGAGAGCAATCGATTGCACTTAGAAACAATAGCAAATGTTTTGAAAAATTGAAGCATGCAATCGATTGCACCAATATGCAAATCGATTGCACTCAAGTGAAAATTGAATTTTTGCTTGGAAAAACTTGAGTAAAGATTTGGACAATATAAAATATTTCTTTTGACCATTGAGCATCTATGTCTTAAGTTCAAAGTAAGTATTATCATTATACCTTGAAATTTGCTAAGTGCTTGAACCAAAGACTTCATCCACATATGCTTTTAGCTTGATCAATCATCTTTGCCTTCTTGTCAACATGGTTTGTCTTCATCAAAACAAAAGTGTATTTGAGAAGCTTGATTTTACAGTAGATATCACCTAGGACTAGGGATACCCTATAGTTACCAGATAACTCTTGATAAAGAAAGACTTGAATCCATCAGATATCTCTATGGACTTAGGATTTAGTATAGATGTTCAAAGGTTTTCCCACTAAGGACTTAGGGGAAAATAACCTAAAGGACGGGCAATTGGTATTATGAAATTGTTGAAGAAATCAGGATTCAAGGTTATTATAGGGAAAATTACACACCATACCCCTACCATGCTCCTCATATTAGAAAAAAGTCACTTTATATTCCTACTATTAAGTGAATATTTCACAACCAAAACCCCATATCAAGTTTTGTTTAATTAAACCACAAATTGAACTTAATACTGATACGCAGTCCATAAGATCGATACTTTGAGATTTTCCATTATTATTATTTTGGAAAATTAGTACACTTGCTAATTTATCTATCAACTACTTCAGCCAAAAAAACCAAGAATGCTTCTCAGAAATATTTAAATATTTTGAAGCATAATCCCAACGTTTTCCACGGGATTCTACGAATACTTCTTTTGGCCAACACAAATCAAAATATCACAATATTACAAGTGTGTCATCTTTCATTCATCAACCCAGAAACACAGACTTCCAGAGAGACATATGTACTCCACATGCTTGAACAATACACAAGCTTCAAGAAATTTTCCCCATTGCTAATACTTTTGACTCTCCCTGTCATGGATAAACAGTCCTCAGGCTGAACACAAACTCCAAAACCTCTCTGATTTAGGCCACAGTGTCTGACACCATTCCTCTGCTCTTACTTCCACTAGCAATTGCTGATACTAGTGAAGTCTTCAATATAGTAGTTATGAATTCATCAAGGATACTACCGTAGACAAGATCAAAATCTTCTCATTCTAATTCACAATCCTGGTTCTTATTCTCTATCCTGGTTCATTTGCCCCATAATTCTCATAGGGTGGAAGACCTGTTCTTTTCGGGGGCAGGATGACTCCGTGATATTCGAAGGGATGTTGGCCACGTACCTTTGGTGGCATGTATAGGAGACGTCATCGATGGATATGTGGAGGAAACGTCCTCGACTGGGACGTAGAGGAGACGTCCTCAATGGGTATGTGGAGGAAACATCCTTGGTGGGCACGTCCTCGACGAACACTTGTGGGAGACATTCTTCAACGATTATAGCAATTTAGGCCACTGTAGTGGGCCTTCCTCGCAACAGAGTTGGGCTGGGCCCTACGCGATGGCATACTAAGCGCAGACCCAGTCCAGAACATGTTCCTTTACCAAATTTTAAAATTTTTTAAAATGAGATAAATTAAATATGAATTTTTTAAATTTCAAAAGATATTGATGAAAGATATGAAAATCTCGACTTAAAAATCAAATTTTAAGTTTTTTTTCAAAGAATTTTTTATAACGTTCTAAACATGTCTGCAAAATAATCATTCAAAATAGACATCAATTTAACAGCAAAATTAAAATTATATGCGTAATAATTTTGTAAGATAAAAAGATACCATATTTATAAATGTATCAAAAACAAAATTGAGTCTCACATTTTGTAAGATTGTGAATCTTGCTACTATTTTCGGAACGTTTTGCTGCCTAAGAGTGGCGTCTACAATTTCCTTGAAGAAATAGAGTCACACCATACATAAACAATGAACAACAATACTTGTTCACAATCTTCAACCAAACAAACCCCAATCAACAACAAACCCTCTTTCATGCCAGCAAAAGATGACACCAAACCCGTGCTTCAAGACCCAGTATTCTCTCTCTCTCTTTTTCCCACTACTTTCTTTTCCATATATCACAACATTCTTGATTCAAATTTTTATAACTCTCTCTTTGTTGTTTGAATTTGTGTTTTTTCTTCTGTCACAGATATTGAGGTCTGATCCAATTGAAACAGAGGAAGCTGTGCTGCTATTGCCTCCATTCTCAATCCCCAAATCAAATCAAATTCCTCATCTCAAATGACCTAATTGTAAAGTTTTAATTTTGAATCTTTTAATCACTGTATTCTTGTTTTCTTTTGGTTTTAGATAATGGGTTTTGATTTTTTAGGGTTTTAGCTAACTGGGTGAGTTTCCCTCTGAACCCTATCTCTTAAAGATGACATTTTTATTGTTCTGTACTAATTTTTTCTAGTTCTGAGTTTCTGTTCTTGTTAGTTGTTTACATGCTATGATTTCTTATAATGCATGAAAGAATTGAGTGATTTGTTTATTTTCCTAGTTAAACTGCATTAGATAGATAGTTAGTTTTCTGCTGTGAGGTTCAAGATGGTGGAAACAGTCATGAACGAGTCTTTAGTTTGCGATTAATTGTATGTGTGAAATGGTAGATAAGCTTCTTCTGTTCTATTCTTTGAATACACAGTGCGATAGTTTTACCAAGATTTGCATCTCACAGAAGTTATGCTAGGCTTTAGTTGAATGAGTTCTTCTTTCAGTGTCATGAAACAGTAGTTTAGTTAGGATTTATAGCCCTTTAGCTCCTTCTTTGGCTAATGTCATATTGAGAATTTAGAATGCTCATTGTGTTTATATACAATCATGTAGTTTATTTACATACATAATCCCACAATTGATTAACATCATGAGGTTTAATACAATTTAACCTTCTCACTCCTTTTTCTTTCACCTTAACACAAACATCATTAATTCATTTTTGCACTAAATCAAGAATATCATTCCGGCAATAGTATAATTAAACGCTACACATACAAATTATTAGAGCAATTACGTTAAATCCACAAAACATAAAAGGTACGATACATAATTGTAGATTAAACTCCTTTTATTTAGTCAGTACAGCAAAATTAAAAAAAAAAATACAAAAGACTCCAAGATACATAATATGTATATAACATCCACCTAACTCCTAACTCAAACCTAGTTTAGAAATGAATGGACAAGAGCTTTTACCTTTTCTCTTTGAACTGAAAATAACTCTATGATTTGATACACCAACGACAATTCTAAAAGACACTCTCAAGAATAATATCAAAAGATATTATAAATATTGATGTTGTAAAATTGTCGATAGTAGAAATCTTTTCTGTAAGAGTTTTTGGTTTTGTGAAAGATTTGTACGTGAACCTATAAGGTTTTAGATGTGGCCGTTGAAAGGAAGTAGGAATAACTCCTATGAAAAAAATATGGAACTTGTGGAGAAAATAATTGATTTAATCAAATTATTATTATTAGGTAAAATATTCATTTTAGTCCTTTAACTATAGGTTATGGTTCACTTTGGTCCCTTATCTTTTTTTTTTGTGCCAAAATGGTCCCTTAAGTTTCAAAACACAACCACGTTAGTCCTTCCGTTAATTGGCCTCCAACGTCCGTTTATTTGCGTGAGGTGGCAAGTGAGCTGACAGTTTTCTCCTTCTTCTTTATATGCAGATAGCGTATTTGATAGTGGTTCAAAATCTCTTTCACAAAATTTTGTTAACGTTCTCCTTCTCAAAAATTGTTGTACTTTCTTCATCTTCTTCCCTTTCTCCATGAATACAAAGCATTCATCTTCTCCAACGAAGCTCTGTCAATCATAAAGTGTTGGGTTAGGTGTATATAGTAGCTCGCGGATCACACCACTTTACTGTTGCGGAGACAACGTTGTTCTACGTAGGGCAACAACTGAGAAGAACTATGGAAGGAAATTTTAGGGTTCTCACAATTACAAGGTAAGCCCTAATTTTGGTTTAGGTATGTTAGAAGATGTAAACAGAGTTCAAGCAGCTTGTGAAATTTGCAGGGCTCCTTGCAAAGAGGATGTGGCTTCTTCCATTAGTTTCACGAGGAATTGGTAGAAGACATAAACCAAGTCTTGAGTAATAGATTGAAAAGCATAGCAAAGGATTTAGATGAAACCAAGAATCAATACGAAAAAATTTGAGGTTTAGAAATGAAGAATTAGGGGATGCCGTGTTAGAACTTCAATTCAACTCAACAAGATGTTAAAGTGGAAAAAACATTGAAGATTCTGTGTTTTGTAGTGTTATGTGTATTTGTCGTTAAGTTGTATTAGAAGTAGGAGTATGTAGCAGTTTGTGTGTAATTTTATCTGTTTGAGAAATTAATGTGCAAGTTTATGTGTAATTTTAACATATGTTATCAGTTTAATAAGAATGATTTTGTTTGGCATATCATTAATCAAAACATATCAGTTTGGCATATTGTTAATTGTAGCAACATAATTTTGGGCACATTTTGTCAGTAAATGAACACAACAGATTAGTTAAACTGAAAATAGGTAGTTGGCATGTTACATAAGTATGTTACAAAATACTGACATGTTACATGGACATTTTTCAAAAGTTTGATAAAATGAAATGTTCCAAAAGGTGGACAGAATGACACGTTACATAAACATGTTCCAAAATACATAAACCCTAACATGATAATTAGATGGTCCTCTTTGATGTGCTTCTCTTGGTTGGAGTAGATCGCCTAGTGGTAGGACCAGTTGCATTCCTGGCTGCTGAGAGTCTTGTTGTTGGTCCAGGGGTACAAAGGGCCTTCTCACACCTAGTTTTTGTAGCTTTTCAATTTCTATATCTTTCTCCTTTGTGCCTTGCCCTGGTACTGACTTTCCTTGTGAAGACTGAGTTGCATTCATGTAACCCTGTGCAACTGATGCTTATGTTGATGCAACCTGACTTGCAGTGGTTTGAGATGCAGAAACTTTTATTGTCCCAATCTTACTTGCATTGGTCCCAACATGACTTTCATTGAGTTGCCTTGCAAAACCTTGTGTTGCCTTGTCTTGCCTTGAGTTGGATTGCTTTGTGTAGCATTGTCTTGTGTTGCCTTGCCTTGCCTTACCTTGAGTTGGATTTCTTTGTGTTGCATTGTCTTGTATTGCCTTGCCTTGCATTGCCTTGAGCTGTAGTGGTTTGAGATGCATTTCCTTGTGTAGCATTGGCTTGACTTGCATTGCCTTGAGTTGTAGCGGTTTGAGATGCAGTGCCTTGATTTGCATTGACTTTGCAGGTTTTCTTGTTATGTCCAGTTTTATTGCACAAAGAACACTTTACAATAAAATCAGTTCTTCTTAATTTTTTGTCAGTGTCATCAATCTCCCCTTGCTCAAGGTTTCTCTTTTTCTTTGGTCTACCAGACATCTTTCTAAACTTAGGCGGATGCACATCAGGATATGGAGTTTTTGCCCACAAATTGGATCCATTCACAGAATAAAGCACAAACCTATATACTGCATTGTACCTAGATACCCTATAATAATCTGGAATGTAATCATCAACTTTAAAATTCCTACTCTTCATGCTGACATGGCATGGACACATGGAAGTCCTGTGAGTTCCCACCTTTTGTAGGAGCACAAGTAATCCTTCAAATTCACAGTGAATGTTTCAGCTGGGTTTTCGACATACCTTACTTCAAACATATGCTCATCTGACATTCTGCAATTAATATTTAACAATTAACATTTAACAGTCTTCAATTAACATTTAACAATTAACATCTAACAGTCTGCAATTAACATTTAACAATTAACATTTAACAATCTACAATTAACATTTAACAATTAACAATTAACAATAACTGACTATACCTGACAAGCCATAAGTTTGTGTAGACACTTGTTATGTCCATCTTCTTTCTAATGTTGGGCAAAATATCATTACCAGATATATCTTGGAACCTCATTATGTTTTTTTCCCATATCTCCATCATGTAAGTTATGATCTCCTCTAGCATTGTTACTAGTGGTTTAGCCCTAGCTTCAATAATAACACTATTAAATGCCTATGATATATTGTTCAGCACAACATCACACTTGTTGGTAGTCCTAAAATATGATCTAGACCAATATCTTGGTGGAGTCTTCGTCATATGAAGATATGCCTCTCCACTGATCATTCTCATTGCCCTCATCTCTCTTTCCTAAGCCTGTGAGTATGTAGATTTAGCAGCCTTCCAGATAAGATCCTTGAATGCTTTTCCAGGATACTTCTTCCTGAAATTGTTATACAGATGCCTAACACAAAATTGATGTTCAACATTAGGCAACAACTCTTCCGTTGCAGGTAAAAGTCCCTGTAAAATAGATTCATAACTAATGGTGAATTATCAAGAAAAAAATCATATAAATGTAAAGATTCAGTGAAGTATTTAGTGTACCTTCTGTTGGTCTGAAATGAAAGTGTATGAGCAATACTCTTGTCCACCCCCTAGATCATCAATTAGTAGCTTCAAAAACCATGTCCAGCTATCTCTATTTTCACCTTCAACAACTGCAAGTGCTATGGGAAGCATATGATCATTGGGATCCCTTCCTATAGCTGTCAGATTTCACCTCCACAAAGCCCCTTCAAAAAGCAACCATCTAATCATATCACATGCCTACATAATTTGAAACTTTCATTGCATCCATATGTAAAACCTTTTAAAAAAGGGTCTCTGATCATCGGCCGGCACCTTCTAGAGCATGTTCTACATTCATCTTAATTGTTGACCCTGGATTGGCTCTTAGCAGTTCATGACAATAGTCATATATCCTAGTGTAATCACCCAAAAAGTAACCATGAACCCTATTCCTTACAGCCACTCTTTCCCTTATTGCTTTAGTCTTGTTTACACCTACATTCCACTTTCTCAATGCCTTTTCTTTAATATCCCGGACCTTCAACCTAGGGTTGTTTTTCAATGCATTCTGAATCCTCTTGCTCAACCACTTTATGCTCACCATCCTCACATTATACTCCCTGCTACAGTTATGGTTGTCAATTAGTTTTCTTATTTTCCAGGTTTCCTCATTTAATAACTTAGAAAAATAAACCTCTCACTCATAACCTTCCTTGCATCTCACCCTCACTCTTTTTTTAATCATTTTTTATGATCTTGAGGGCACTTCCATTTTGAACAGCATATGAGGCAACAACTTCCTTAATGTCATCCTTTGAAGTAAAATACATTCCTAATTCTTATTTGTAATTGGCCATATCTTTTATC